GACTTTTCCAGGATCAACATGTCACACGTATAAAACAAAATTCCGTGCGAAAACAGAAACACATAATCAAGAACAACCTCAGAACGGGAAATATCTAAAAAAAAGAAAATAAAATAAATATGTAGCGGTTGCTACAGTGCTAGTTTTAAATGTGGATAATGGCTCAAATCTGCCATCTCCCATAAATATACTAAGAAAGTCCTTCTCTGTTAGTACAAGGTATGGCGATTTCAAGCAGTGCTAAATGAGGAGGACAGCTTTGTTTACATACACCGGTTGTACAGTATGTCAGACATTGGATTGTGCTACATTCGCTTACTTTCGTTATGGCTGACAGGCATAGGTCCGACTCTTCTGATGTTTCTGTGTCCTAGACCAGTGTTTCCCAAACTTTTTTTCTGGGGAACCATATTGTAAAAGTCACAGACCTTTTGCGACTCAAGTCCATAGACGTTATTCGTAAACTCCTGGGAAACATGATGTGAGACGACCCCAAAAAAAACTTTGGGAAACAATGTCCTAGACTATGATGTCACCATTGAACTCCGATAAAAGTCCAGGATCTCATGTGTTCCTAAACTGGGCTTAACAGATCAATTTTGATTTTTTTGGACAGCAAAAAACATTTAATAAAAAGGGATAATGTCACGCCCATGTGAGTCTGGCTGCTCTGGTCTTGTTATTTCCAGTTATTACACCAGTTTCATCTTATTATTCTGGACCGTAGGAACTGAACCCTTTCAAACAATATCGTCTTATTTCTTGGTTTTGTAAAAAAAAAAACCAAAACACTCAATATTTGCCTTAGTTCTCAATTGTGCATTTTTTTCCTTCTATATACAACGTACACACAGAGTTTTCTTCAAGAACACCATGAAAGTCATGTGTGAGAAAAAAAACGCTTATTGAAAAGAAATGTTTTATTCATTTTTTTTTTGTTGTATTTTTTCAATAGATTTGATTTTTTTTTTGGTCAGCAGTGGTGGGTGCAGACCACTAAAAGTGTACCAGCTGCAGAAGCCCACACACTTAGTGGACAGCGGTCTAAATGTTCCTTCCTCCTCTGCTTGTTAGGCAGATACAGAAGTTGAGCGTTAGTTGGAATAATCTGCTGAGGCTGTTGGCTCTGTGAAGGCTAACTAAACATTACAGCAAAAAACTTTGATGAGTTCAAACGCAGAGACCTTGACATTTCCAAAAGGGCTTTTCAATGATACCAGAAGTGAAGAGCTGGGGATAATACCAGACAAAGATTGGAGAATATAAAAATATATTCTAATTTCATATTTGTTCTAAGAAGCTGGGACATGTAATGTTGCTGTAACGAGTACAAACTCTGACAGTGAAGATTTGATTTTATTCTATTTATCTGTGCCAAAGTCGAGCCAGCAGCCAGCGTTTTTCAGTCCTGTTACTGACTGTGTCCAAGAGGACAAGACAGCTGAAGTAATGTGATCATACTGAAGAAGAAATGATGAAACACTAAATAAAAACATTACTTTATGTCAGAATAAATCATTACAAGGTCAATACTATAAAAACTCTCTAATCCAGATCAATCCAGTCTGGCTGAGTAAACATAAAGCTGTACGGCAGCAAACACTGCACCAGTTATTCTACGTCCAACTGCTGTTAGCTGCACACCACATGACATTTCCTGGGAAGCCCTGACTCATTGGTAAATGTACATTCAGTTTTTGAGCTGAGACTCTTTCACTTCGTCGTTCTTTAACAGGATTGATACTCAGTGGGAGGGTGAAGAGAACAAACAGTCTGGCTACGCTATTAGCATAATTGCATCATTAATTGTGAGTTCTTTTTACTCTGAAAAATAGCTGCTGGTACCAGGCTCCTCAGCCAGGAGAAAAGCTCAACACATACGCAGCTCGTAACAAGTCATTAGCGCTCGATGCCCAGAGGCGTCTTTCTGTGAATGCTCTGACGCCTGTGAATGACAAACCCATAGTGTTGGACCAGAGTGGGGGCTTTCAGGTGAACGTTATTACACTTTTCTTCCCACACTCGGCCGCCTAACTCGGCTACAGTGTCCCTCCTGCAGGGACACTTCAAGGTCCATTGTTTCTCTCCAAGTAAAGCCGTTTGGAGAGACCAAACTTGTGTTTGAAGAGCTGCTCCTCAACTGGTGTCTCTACTATTGTGGGGGAACTCTTCCAGCATTCTTTGGCTGAGGACACTGTGACACTGAATGGGGAAAAGACTGTGTGAAGAGGTTGAATGTGTCACTAGTTAAGGATTGTAAAGCTAGTGCTAATTTAACCAAAGCAGAACAAAAGTGACAGCAGCCTCATTATGGCAAGAAAGAAACCTGTTGAGTGGGCAGCAACAGGCATCCAAGAAAAGAACCAGGAAGGGCTGGCGAGGCTTTATGTTGGTTGGTTTGTAAGAATGTCCATTCTTAGGGGCAAAATCTCAGGCAGGCCAAGGTTAATCTAGTGCTAGCTGGTACCTAGCATGAGAGAGCATCTGCATAAGATAAACATAAACATTCTTGACTCCAAGTCTGCATTTCCAAAATGTATATTTTGTTTGTCCATAGAAATTATTATGTTATTAAGTTGCTGCTGAATGAAAATGTGTTTTTTTAAAGTAGAGTAAAGTAGTTTCACTGGGACCGTGCGTCACTGTAGCTACTGAAAACTACAGTGATGAGTACTATAAAGACCTGGGTAAAAACCCAATGACTTATTTTGTGACTCTAGAAAAGTAGCCAAACTGTAAAGTATGATTTCTAAAAGAGGTGATGGAATATTTCGGCTAATTTTACTCTCCATCTCCTTCACTGCATTAGTGAGCGTGGCACTAAAATAAAGAGAAATGTAGTGGTTTATTATCATGGCAGAAGTGCTGAACACTTCACAGCCAGAAATGTGTAGTGAGTCTCACATGAAAACAGACCAATGACATTAATTTTAATGGTTTAAGGTGTTCTTTTTAGGAAGTAAAAGTGATCCATCTCAAAGGCAGAGAACCTTCATTTCTATGACCATTCATTTTAATGGTAATCATAGCTGCTGTGTCCAAGTAAAAGGACATGCTGAATGTTTTTTTTAATATTTAAAACTCAGAAGTATCACCATAGAAGAGTATTTGTCCTTAAAGTTAATGTCAACTATAATATTATTTGCCAAGTATCACACCTGAATAAGTAATGCAACAGGTGTTGTTTTGTTCTCTTACAAAATAACATTTTCTAGATGGAGTCAAAGTTTTCAGTAATATTTTCAATGTTACATCCAGGCATGGGAGGAACAGGCAGGACCCAAATGCAGCACTCTTCAGGTGCAGGAGGTTTATTTAAAAACTCAAAATAACCATAAACTCAATGCATAACAGGACCAGACAGTAGGAAAACGTAAGAACAAATGTAGTGAAGAACTACCCAGAACACTAAGGATGAACACAGAACAAGGAGCTGACAAAGACTGAGTGAAGGAGAGAGGTATTTATACCCAGGTCACCAGGTGACAGCAGTGAGACTGATGAGCAGGTCATCACAGGACACAGGTGAGGCTGATGACGCTGATGCACAGCACGTGTGTTAAATCACTACACAGGAGTGAAGTGGAACAGTTTGAGTTCGAAGTAAAATGTAATAAATGAAAAATTAGAAAATATATGTATATGTATATATGGATGTGTTATAAAAAAATATGTGTATATGTATATATGGATGTGTTATAAAATAAAAATGTAGACCTGTTTAATGAACAAAAACCTTTTAGATTAAATGAAAACATAAACACAGTAAAAGAAAAACAAAAAACATAATTTAGCAAAAGTAGCAAAAGCTACCAATTTTTTTTCAAAATGTGTACATATACTGTAACCACCAAACAAAAAACTTTTGGTTTTATAATTGATCTTTTAATTAAAAATATAAATAAATATTATTTATTACCGTACTCATACAAAGCGAGAACTATATCCAGGTGCTCATGTCTTGGCTGCACTGTCAGCTCTCAGTTTGGTTTATCTACTAATAAACACCGGCTGTCCACCAATGTAGGTCACTTTACTACAACACCCAGAGAGTGCTGTACCCTGGCAAATACCACAGTACTAAAAGACAAAGTTCTACATCATATGATGTTATGACAGATGAGTGCTCCGCTCTGGTAAAAATAATTTCCACTCTTTTGTGTTCCTAACAAATGGAGACTGGTGTCCACTGAGATCCTTCTACGACAAAAACTGCATTGATTTCCCAAACGCTCTTCTCCAAATAAACCTGTGACTGTCTGTCAAAGTTGAAAACTAAGAGAGACTTGGTTCATGGGGTTTTCTCACTCTTTGAGAAACTAGGAGCGTTGCCATCCAGAGAGAGCACGGTTCTAACAACATACAGATGTCTTTGAGTTCAGGAATATGCAAGGAGCACAGAGAAACAGCACAGGATCATGTGATTGACAGCACACATTCATCGTGGTATGTGCACCTAGATAGGAATTAGGTGCAGTTTAATTGCAGTCCAAATTCACAGAACAGGCAAAACTGAACTGAGTACTGACTACAGGGAACACAACGTGAAAGAAATCACTAGGAAACAGGTGAGTGTGAAGAAACTAATGACTCAGTGAGAGACAGACCAGACTCAAAACAATTAACTGATGTTATTTTCATATTTGTTTTACAACATTATTATAACTATAACTATAACATCATGTGATGACAGAGATGAAGACTGTTCACCGTGAAGATCTCTAATCATCCTGGCCTGGGTATAGGCTGTGACCCAGCAGTATTTCAGTTTGGCTGCGTCCCACACGGAGACAGACGTGGACACCTTTACTTGACCACAGCAACACTTCTTGGCTACATTTGTTTTTTTTTCTAAGGCTTGGTTCCCACATTTCTTGAACGATCTTTCTTTGACTGTCTCGATTTGTCCCGTGTTAGCCTCTGGCACACACAGAGAGCCAGTGGAGTTGATTGAGGGCAGGCAGACTGAGAATGACTGATGCTATAAACCACAGCTAAGAAACAACAGCAGACCTGAACGTGTTGACAAATGATAACCTAAAAAAACTCCATGTTTTATCCTGCCATCCTTTTTTTTAACACATTCCTTTCTCACTGCTTGTAAATTATCTGCCAAACAATGGACTGAGCTCAAAGAAGAACTTGATGTTGAACGTTAACGTCTGTTTACAGAATCACACATTGTTTTCAGGTGTTTTCTTAACAGTATTCAAACCTTTTCTGTTGAATAACGATCATACACACTAAAAACATTGTGCAGCAGAGACAGCAGTGATGCTCTAAACATCAGACGCTGCTTCATCTTTTATATTCACCAAAGTATTTTACACCATAGTATTAATTGTGATACATTTGATTATTTGCATAAACCTCCCTTGAAATAGAGCACAGAAGACACATTTAAAGAAATGTAAGCAATTTAATTTATCTATTAAAGATACCACACTGAATTCCCACTGACAACTGAAGCGGAGTTTTTACAGTATGACTTTTAAAACCCAAACTATGGCATATCATAAAAGGCGATTGAAAACTGACATTTCCACGGCAACCTTTCTTGTGGTCACTCGTGGATCACCGACACCTTCCACATGTGGTCTCCTGCATTCGAAGCTAATGGCGTTGCCTGCCAAATGTGGCCCACAGATGTTCATTTAAAGGGTCATTTACTGTTGATGTTGTATTAGGACAAGTGCTTTAGCGGCCCGAGCTAATAGTGATTTATGATGTCTAAGAAAGTCCAGGAAATTGTGGTGAACATTTAATTACAGGAGAACATTGAGCTTCTTGCGTCTCACTGGTCACAGTTGTCCAGCTGGACACCATGCAGGTCACATGGAATTAAAATAGAATCAGTGCATTGCCTTAATAGATAGATGGATACATAGATAGAAAAAGATAACAAACTGACAACTCTGCTAACCGCTGCAAAAGTGAGTAGCTAACCACAGAGGCATGGGCATCCATTAATCTCCAAATTATCAAAAATATAAACATCTTGTAACCACTTCTAATGGTGACTGGTGTAATGGATGAGAGTGGGTCTGCTGTGTTTACCCTACTACAGGTGGGGACAGACTAATGTAAATTTCCTTGGTGTCCCATAACATACTACGGCCAACGGTTATTCTAGAACAGATGCCTTCATTCATCTTTCACCGCCCTATCCTGTTGGTGGCTGCAGGGGGAGCTGCAGATAATCCCTGATGACACTGGATTAAAGACCGGAACATTGTGGTGATTCAGAGTCACGGAGTAACCTTATTAACCCTTTATTTCCAAATGCATGTTTTTAGATTGAAGCTCCAAAACTCTGAATACTCAGAGGACTCAAACTCCAGACATTGTTCACAGAGATAACGAGTACAAGTTGTTGCAGAGTTCTATTTTGTTTGGCTAAATCACATGTTGAGGGGTGGGAAGAGGATGCCCGGGAATTTGTATAGAGTATATAGAAAACAAAACTTTTGTTCTGTCTCTAAAAGTGCAGTATGTACACGTTCAAGTTTTATGCTAAACTTTTTGATGTAAAAGTATTTATATTTTACCAAATGTACTTTTTTTGGTGATGTCAGTTCTCTGAGAAATGTACTGAAATTAAAAACTTACTGAACTGTATACAACAAAACAGCTTGTACACCGTATTAAAGGAAGATATTGAAATATGACGGCAACTTTCCTGTACCTGTTAAAGAGTCTGGGCCTCATTAATCCTACGTTTGAAAAATAACGCCTCAGTCAGCATTTTGGTTTTGCTCCGACTCTTTTCCTCTGTGCGGTTTGATACACAACAGAGACAGCGCTGCGTGCTCTTTGTAGGATTTCTCAGCATGATTATGGCCCCGAACTACTCACACGGCCGAGTATGGCAACATTAGACACAATCAAAGGCATCATTTACAATCAGGCCTGCAATTAAGCTATCAGCATCATTTGAAAAAACACAGAATCGGACACAGATTAGAGAGACCTCGGCCTAAGAAGTCTTTTTTTTTTTTGACGGAAGACAAATTCCCGTGTGCAGATCAGAATAGAGAGACTGCACCAGCATGTGAGGCTGCATTTAATCTGCTGTGATGAAAAACACAGACACAACTTGGCAATCAGTAAGACGAAACGTGGTCTGGTAATTCCTTTAACAGCAAAATAAACACTTTCTCACCCCAATAAACTCAGACCCTGCTCTGTCAGCAGAAATGTTTATGTTTGTAAATGTTCCTACCTTACACCAATGCCCAGAGGCCTTATCAGGAGTCTTTTATACAGGCCCGGTGGCTGGATGTAAACTCCCTGCAGTACAAATGTGGGATTATAAAAGAAGCAAAATAACATTTGCTCAGCTGATAACCTTTTGAATTCCAAAGCAGTAATTACTATCTGCTCCATTCTTTGCATTTTCTTATTCAAAATCACGCATAATAAGGAGCACATGCTGTTTGTGTTAGAATAAACAGCCTGTGGGATATTTCTAACCCAGTCAGGCTCACTGGTCCAAGTCCAAACCACAGCTTTAAGAGACTTTCCATTGGAATTTAAATCAGACCTGTCTGAGTGCCTGCAGGCTGGGACCCCTGGTGCTTAGCGTCTTGAAGCCTCTTTGCAAATTACCCCCTTCTCCAGAGTTGGGTGTAGAATAACACACAGCAGCTCGCCATCTGTCCAAGATCCCGCTACCAGGGTCAGCTACTGCAGGAAGAAGAGATATGGGGCAGGCTGCGGAAGTTGTCAAACCTGGCAACCAAAGTCTCTTGATAGGAGGCCTGTTGTTCCGTCCTCGCTCACCTTTCGGTGTCTGATTTCTGTTATTATTAGAGGTTTTTAAAAAAAATTATCATTATTTTTAAGGAATCGTCTAGAGTTGTTAGCAGCAGAGTTTTTTTTACCGTTTCTGACATGAGGGTATAATAAAGCCCACTGTTGCAGGCACGAGTGTGGTGTTCCTGCCCTAAATTTGCATGATGGATGGTGGCAGTGGTGGAATGGGACAGGTTGCCAGCTCTAATGGGTCTCCAAGGAACTTAATCAGGCCTTCCCACTGTGCTAAGGATAAATACCAATCTGGAAAACACTGCTTAAAGGGGGTCCAGCAAAAAGCAAGCTGATTGATGCCACTTGGAGTAAATAGTAGGGACTATTTTAAATAGTAACAGTAATCCTTATAAAGAATAAAAAAAATATTGTACGAAAAATTTAAGGTCAGTGATCCGGTTGGTCAAAACTATTTGTTTTGTGTTCACAGGAGCTTGAAAATTAAACTTTAAACGCCTGAAGTATCCCAGTTTTACATGAGTGGACAGGTCACCAACAGAGTTAACTGGATATTTTACATTCCCTTCAGGATGACTTAGGTACGTAAATGTGATAAGTGTATGGATTTGCAATGATATAAATGGCTCCACATGCCAGGAATGTTACTATAATGAGGTGGATGGAGAAAGTGGAAGAAGGAAGAAGATTGCAAAGATTATCCTATTGTCAGAATCTCCCATGTCGCCTGGCAGACTGAAAATGGAGTGGGTGGGTAGTTTTTGTTTTATAATTATATTTATATTATTATATATGTGTGTATCTGGTGTGCACTTCCTGGGGCTGTTTATACACTCAATTCTGAATCCACTCCCATATTAGTTAATACAATATTGGATCCTGTAGTGGTTAAAGCTCAGCAAATACACTTTTGTTCAAACTCACTTTTAATTAAAGATTCGCTGCACACTAAAAACGCATTTTGAACAGGAGGGATCAAAGACGTGTGAACTTTGCACTATTGCTAAACTAACACAATCTATGTGATGCTATGTGATTAGCATAGTGTAGTCCCTTTTATGGCTTTGCACCCGAATTAGTTAATATGAGATCGAAACCCTTAATGATCAAAACTAGTTTGTTGTTACATTAAATGGCTATTTCTAATTCTACCCCTGTGTTGTAGTACTCTCTGCTGATTCCTGTCATGTAGTAATATTTAGTACTTTATGGTTTTAATGATCGGACACAGGGTGAGAAATAAAACTCAACTCTAACCATCTGCTCCAACAAGGTTTGAATAGCACAGGTCCAGGCAAAGTCCTGAATATATTTTAACATAGTTTTTCTTTAATTTCTTGTTCAACTAAGGAAAGTAAAAATTATTTGGGTCCTTCAGGAAAATACTAAACAAAACAGTGTTTTATATTTTTGCCTTTCTATTTTAAGGTGTTCATATTCACCATTGGACTTTTTACAAAAATAAGTGATGCACAGGTTTTGCAAGTAATTGAGGAGTAAGAAATAAGTACGGTTAATATCGTCATGGAGACAATGTGCCACTCAAATGGAAAATTCAAGCAACTTTAAGCAGTTCTGTCATGAATTCCTCTTAAATTGGGGTCATGACTGGGGTTGTGCCTGTGCAAAAATGGAAACTCTGTTAACACTCTATCTTTTGACAGTTTAAATATTACCCAAATACAGTGTGGGCTGAAATGTTTGAGCTTTTGAAATACAGTGCTCATAAAGTTCAAGTTCAGATAAAAAAAGTTAACATTCTCTAAGGCTCCTCAGCTTCTTTGCATTTGACCCCTTTAATAAGCTTGCTTGCTAAAGGCAAAACAACATAATGTCACTGTTCGCCTTAACCAAAAGATCAGGTGTGCAGGTTGTACTTCAAGTAACTATGCACTAAGTGAGGTGGCTGTGGAGTACTAGATACTAAATGCTACTTGATGATGATCATAGCCAGCATGTAGAAGCATTTATTATTTTACAAGCGTCAAGATTTTTATTGCCAATTTGTGCAAAAAAGCCAAGTGTTCAGACATGTGGGTCTCTCCCCCAAGGCCAAGTGGTGACAGGTAAGGAAACGTTAACAATAAATACAGCATACTCCTATTTATAAAAAACACAATAGATTAGAACAGGTTCATTCCAGTAGATAAAACATGTTGGTGGCCGTTTGTACATTTTATTTAATGGTAACAATATAAATGTATCTGTTATTGTTCAAGTTTCCTAACCCATGCTCCTTAAAACTTCTACAAGCATTGTTTCATTAGAGATTTAAGGTGACATTCTGGGCTGACGTCTTTAGCACCAGATGACAAAGACTGAATTCAGTGGTTTCCAAATGTTACTTTTTAAATTTCCAGTCCAGTAAGTTAGCCCCATCACTCTGGGCTCAGAGAGGTGGTGTCACCTCGATGGAGAACTCCATCAAATATAATGATGATGATATAATGATGAAAACAGTCAGAGCTGCTTGAGAATACCGGCAGATGTATCTTAAAATGTTAAAGTTATTCAAATCTGACACTCGACTAAAAACTTTTCGACCCACACTTATTTATTTGCTTGCATTTCTTCATGCTCTCAACCTGTTTTTCTTCAGTCTAGGCCACATTACTATCTTTGTCTTTTCTCATTAAGTGTTGAGAGATCAGCCTGATAACAAGTGGGTCAAACTCCAGTTGTGTCACAATCATTTATTTCACATGGCTAATAGAGATGACATTATAGCTTGGCTTGGCAGGAAGACTCCCTGAGAGAAAACTTCCTGCCACAGCAGCACAGCAGAATATAGTCAAAACACAGCACATAACAACAAATAACATGCAGATGGTCACCAGTGGTTTTTAAATAGACGTAAACACATGAAGCAGGTGGTTAACAGTTAAAACGATGTGGCTAAGGCAGTTAAAACAGTCCTGTGCTGTTGGACTGTCAGTGAACACTGTGACTGTGACTGTCCTTAATGAGTAATGACTTCTCTGCACGTTCACGACTGTTATCGCTTATGAGTCTCTCTGTCACAACACAAAAATCAGCCGTTACATCAAATCTAACTCACTGAGACTGAATGATGCACTGAGAGAAACTTGCTGTGAAGACGTTCTCTCAGTTGAAGCTCAGAAGAAACGAAAGGCGAAATGTTTGCTCTGGTAACTTTAGTTCACAGGTGTCAAACTCATTTTTACCCAGGGCCACACCCTTGAAGGGCCGGTTGTAACTGGAAGACTATAAATCAGAGGTGCCCAACTCCTGGTCCACGGAACAGTACCAGTCCATAGGTCATTTGGTAGCAGTACAACACAATGAAACATTTATATTTAATATTTATTAATTTACTTCATTCAAAGAAAATCCAGTCACATCCATTTACTTTCTTTATTTAAAGATAATCTTTTAAGCTCCCGGGGGCCACAAAGATGGAACATGGATTGGCGGCCGCATTCGGCCTCTGGGCCTTTAGGTTGACACGTATGCTTTAGTTTATATACGAGTGAATATGAGTATCAGTTTCTTATGAAATGTGCTTTTTGTTTTTATCTATGGTTTTCATATGAGCTTGTATCTCATGTAACTGTTTTAACTGTTGGCCATGTGACAGTTTCGTCCTACAGGACGATTCTCTGCTCGTGACCAATCATTGTTGCACGCACACACGAAACAAAAAACACTAGACTTTTCGACTCCTCCCAAGCGGTGTCAAATTATTATTATTAACACAATTTGTTTTTTCTGTCAATGCACTAGTACTGTTTTTTTGTTATGGAATTAACAGTACCATTGTGTCCTGTAAACACACGTTCTGTGATAAGTTGCTGGAGAAATTCATTTTGATCTCAATTCTGTCCTGTGGCCCTCTGTCCTACAGACCTGCAGCACATCTGTATTAGACAAGTGACTTCAGCCAAACTATATCTGTTCAAATGCTCTTATTTCTGGAACATTCCACAGCAGGACCATCAAAGTTTCAGAAATAACCTCTGTACATTTCTGCAACTTGACAAATTGCCCACATGTCCAGTATTGAATCCATGTTGTATAATTAGATATGCAATCTGTTCACCTGTACTGCTGCTGCACCAGCTGCAGACGCCGGCTAAGGTCGTCATAAATCAGCTGGAACCACGTCTACGTGGGTCACATCAGTAATTCTTCCTGACTTCTGTCTGTAGCATGACACTGCTGTTCTGGCAGTAATAACTTCAGCCAAAAGGACTTCTGAGCCCACATGGGTCGGCACGCTGGGCCGCGGCCCATGTGATGTTCTGAATGGAAATGCAGCTGTCTGAAGAAGAGCCTGATGTTTTGGGAGTGCAATGCTGGATCTTCACACCTCGTCTGCCGACTCTGGAACTAATCAATGCTCATGCTGTCATACACACAGGCCCCAGCGACCCTATCTTTAACTACCACACATACACACACATTCATTCATGAAAGGTGAACAATTACTGATACCAAAGTATTTTACACATTTCAAACTAACTAAGCTAAGATGGCACTGCAGTATAGGAAAGTCAGTACAGCACCAGTAGGTCGAAACATTTGTTGGTGTGAATTAAAATGAACAGCTCTGTGTATGATCTGCTGCCAAAACGAAAAAAAAAAACAAAAAAACACAAAAAAGAAGAAACTACAGGAAGTTGTTGGCAGATCACTGCAGGTCCATTTCCTTATAAGGGCAATCAAAAGAACCCAGTCATTGTTTAGTTTTGGTTTTATTTCTTCATATTACCTGTAAGTCTTCTCTACTGAACTTGGACATGGTTTAAAGAGCACTTGGGTTTTTAAAAACAACGAAGCTGCCATGGTACATAATACATAAAACAGTGAATGCCAACGAAAGACAATTTCCTCTTTGGACATCAAACGCTCCAAAATGATGAAGCACAGCTTGAGTCTCCAGCAGGACCTTCAGCCTAATGCTTCTTCTAGAAAGTAATAACAACGGCTCAGAGGGAAAGGCCGTCGGCATCACGCAGGTGCAGCGATCACGAGACCTTCAGTGCCCCTTAGATCTTGTTAAACAGTACATACCACACACTACTGTCCAGGTGAACACCAACCAGATTTGTCAGAAAACATTCTAGAAAATTCAATCTGATTTCATTCCTCTACATGATGTACCGCTGAACACTTTTTCACACGTCATGGTCATAGTTAATCATCCAACCCCCACTCCCCAGAAAACAGTTCTTCCTTTAATCCACCATGCTACGTACAAGGAACAGACAAGACCCAAATGCAGCACTGAGGACACATCAGGTGCAGAAGTTTACGAAGAGGACCAAACTTAGGAAAGTCAGGCAAACAAACAGAAAACTGAACGCAGGGAACACACAGAGGCCTAGTATTCCTCTAAAGCCAGAACACAAGACGGCACACAGCAACAATCACATCAGCAGCAACAATCACATCAGCAGCAACAATCACATCAGCAGCAACAATCACATCAGCAGCAACAATGACAACAACAGCAGCAGTGGTGAAAACAGCAGCAACAGTGAGCCAACAAAGACAGAGTGAGGGTAGGGCACCAGGTGAGCTGAGTGAGACTGATTAATGGAGACTCACAGCACACAGGTGAGTGTGATCAATTAATGAACACAGGAAAACCCAACCCAACAGTTCTACAAAAAAAAAAAAAAATCAAATGTACATTACCAATGTGATGATTAAATTATAACACTTTATTGCACTTTTTAAGGTGACCTAGATACACACCCCTTTGATCCAAACGTGTCAAACATTTAAACAGATATCCTGTTAAAAATCCTAGAAAATGTCTTGAAATGTTTAAGCCACTATTACTTTTCAAGAAGTGTGAGGTTCACCTGTCTTTTTTAGAGAAAAGCTCTAATCCAAGTGGACACGCAGCAACTACACATCACAGTCCGATAGGAACAGTCTGGGCCCCATGGTGAGCTACGGTCACAGGGGGAGACCTTTCATGTAGACGTGGGAAACAGCATCAGGCAGAAGGCTTCTCTCTCGGAGAAGGACCATTTTCTCCTGTGCAGGTTGGAATTGTGGGGGTCGGCCACATGTATGCACACAGCGCTGGCCTTTCCATATGGTAATATTTACATGTCTTCTTTGTTGTTCCCAGATCAAAGCAGAGGAGATCCATTTCAGTTCAGTTTATGACACGATTAGCAAATTTGTAAAGGGGAGAGGGGCTTTAAATGCCCTGTAAAATCTGTTCCACAGCATGCAGGACCACCACATTAAGTCTGATATCCCATGTGGATATGAAGGAAATCTGACTTAGCTTTAAATTTTCTACAAAGTATGGAGGGACTGTGTGATTCAGAATGGCGATCGATACCAGGAAAAATCAAAATCCAGACCAGGGACCGCACACCACACCAATCTGGACCTTGGACTGAGCCTATGTCTGGTTTAATGAATGTACAAGAGTAAGTTCATGTACATGTAGTCATGTTTCTGACCTCTGACCCTAAATGATCATTAGAGCAGGACCTTTGAGGAAAAAGGATTGAGGAAGGAACGGTGAGATCTACAGCAGAAACAGCTTCAAGAGACAAAGTAAAGCAGAACACCATCATTTTATTGTGGAAAAAGCAACACTGAGGAACAAAAAAAGTTGTATTCTGATACACAGTTTCATTTTTATATTAAAAAAGAGACCAAATGTCTAGAAATCTTCATAATTTATACAAATACAACAACTTTCAAAAATAAATCTTTAATTTAGTAAATGCTCTGTGAACACATTTCTGCGACAACCCACTGCTTGAGATCCCTGAGCAGAGACACAGAGTGAACCCTCCTTTTTTTATATATATCTTCACTCTCGCAAAACCACAATTATCAGTGTTTGTTCGTGAACCCTTTATATACACATGGACACAGTGAGAGGTGAGACAGGAGAGAGGATGGATCAGGAGTACTGTATTTTGAGGAAATCAAGCCGTATATAAGTCTGAATTTGAGATGTAAAAAAAATTCAAAAATGCAAATGTATGCCGCCTTTTTATGCCAAAATAAAGGGTGAGAGTGTGCTGACCTTCAATGGGGTTTCTGACCCAAGTGTTGTTGTAGTTCATCACACTGAGCCCTAGTGCCACCTTAGAACTACAGTGGAGGAACATGACTCGACCCCCACTAAAATCAGTCTACCCCAATAAACAGGGTAGTAAGGAGGGCCATCCCCCCAGGTTCTGGTGGGGGGTGCTGTAGAACACACAGCCTCCCCTAAAGGTGGTCATCAGAGACCACCATGGAGGATACAGTAGGCACGCCAGCCTGAAGGTCCCTCCCACAGAGATGGAGAGACTGACTTGTGGATTATACCATATTCTAAGTTTAATTTCAAATCCATAAATAAACAGACCCCGGATGACGATTTGAACAGGGTGCAGCTATTCCGGAAAATACGGCACTCTAAGCATTTTCTGAGTGTGTGTGTTTTTACTTACACGAGCCACTTGAGTGTGAAGTAGTTTCTTGGTAACAACACAAACAAAGGTTTGAACAGATGGGTGAAGTAACACAGGCAATAAGTTACAACATGAAAATCTATGGACACCACACGTGGGAGGTTTGTGGTTTGTAACAAACAAATACTACACATGTACTTTACTC